AAGGTGTACGGCTACATCAACCACGTTGATAAACGCTTTCTCTTAGCAATCTACAAGGGTATGTAGATGCTCTCCCCCTCTCGTAGCTATGCATCTCCATGGATAGATCTTGCGTGTGCGTAAATTTTTGTTTTCCATGCAACGTTCCCCAACAGTCCGCCCACAAGCCCATCGCCCCTTGGGACAGTTTCCAGATCCATTTGCACATAAGGGCGATATTGAGCAGTCTGGTGTTGGTGATCCCAAGGCCTTAGGCCGACAAACTACCGCCCATTTAACCATGTGATATTTATGTCTCGGACCCGTTCCTTCCCAAAAGAAATGAGATCGTGGTGTGTCCATTTTGGCATGGACCCCTTCAGCTAGGAGGAAGAGGCCCATCGCAAACATGGGAAGGGAGGAGAGGCTCGAGTTTGTAAGCACACGCTGCGCTGCGGAGGACGGGAACTTGCCACGCCAAGGGCAAAGCCGCCCCCTACCTTGGCACAAAGTGGTTCCCGGTCATCTATCATTATCCGTTTGGTAGCTAAGGGTAGACCTAAGTAAGTAAAAGGGAATTTCCCAACTTTACAGTTAAGCATGTCCGCAATGCGACGTCCCTCTTCGGGTCCACCCCCATGGAAAGAACTTCACATTTGTGGAAGTTAATTTTCAGCCCTGACATATAAGCTCGAAACTAAGGAGGAGGGCTTTGACCGTAGCTATACTAATGCAACACTTATGAAGCTAATCTAGTTCATGTAGGTTTGGTCTTCTTCATGAAGGGTTCGGAGCAGTGTCAGATCCAGTGGGAGTTCCGTGGTGCTCTGGCATTCCCTCAAAAAATGCAAATCTTTTTTTATCTAGTACTCTTAGTTTAATCATATATGTATTATAAGGATAGAGTGATAAACTGACTTTTTTTATGGTTATACCTGGCATTATTGTTGTGAATGAGAAAATGTGCACCCCCTATGGTCAAAATCTTGGTCCGCCATTGGTTCGGAGAAAAGTTGAGATGCAAAGGTTTAGCTAAATGCGACAAGTTTAAATATATCCGAAGGAAATCTTATATATCAGATATCTTTGCGTTTCACAATATACTTAGTATGATTCAATTTTTGAAATTAAAGACTGAAGTCGGATTCGTCTCCAAAAGAAGTAGTGCACCATGGTGTGTGCGTAATGCCGGGAAGGAGATGCACGGTTAGGGCGGCGGCGACGGAGTGCGGCACGTCGACATCCGCTGCTCCGAACAACCATTCATAGTACTCCCTCCGTCCGGAAATACTTATCATCAAAATGAACAAAAGAGGATGTATCTAGACATATTTTAGTTCTAGATACATCCATTTTTATCCATTTTAATGACAAATATTTTTGGGAGTATATATTTGTATTGATTTATACAGTATTTGTTGGATGCTGAAGCGACGGCGCTGCATATCGGATAGCGCGTCCGCGTTCACCCGTACTCCGGTTCCCACGGGGCCGGTGGCGTGGGACGGCTCGGAAATTTGCATGGGAGATTGATGTGGCTGTGCCTGTGTGTCACGCTTGGGTTCACAAAATCACAACTAGTAGGTGGCGCCCGAGCTAGTAGTACTACTGACTATCGCCACACACATGAGCAGTCAACTGATTAAAAGATGTCCTAGAGCGGTTGCTGATGTTTGCTCCTCTCTTTTTTCCCTGGACGGAGAAGAAGGTAGGGTAGCGTCAGCACGCACCGTGTTGGTGTTGGTCCATGGCCGGCGCGCGGGCTGCTTTGCGTTGGCTAACTACTTTGTCAGATAGGGACGTGAAAAGTCTTCCCACTAAACGCACGGGCTAATAAAGAAATTGCTGGGAACCGCGGCTGCGGGTGTGGCCGGCAGGAGGACACGAGGTCCTCGTGCCACCGCTCAACCATATCACCCACGCGCCATTAGCTAAAAGGGTGTTTGTTTTCAAGGACTTATTGATTTAGGGGCTTAAAAATGTCCTTATAAGTCCCACCTAAACCAAACATAAGGGACTTATTGGGACTTACTGTGGTGATTTGAAACTTATCAAATAAGACTCTAAAGAGGAGTTTATTGGGACTTATTCCGGGCCGGACCTACCCCGCGTCGCTCCAGGCTCGTTCCCCGCACGCCGCCTGCCTCTCGGTCCAATCGCCGCCACCGCCCCGCCACTCGCCCCGTCGCCGCCCCGCCTTGGTTCGTTCTGCCCCGTCGCCGCCCCGCCTCTCGCCCCGTCGCCGCCCCGCCTCGGTTCGTTCTGCCTCGGTTCGCCGCCCCGTCGCCGCCCGATCTCGGTTCGTTCTGACTCGGTTCGTTGCAGCGGTGCCTCCAATCACCGGACAAGCCCTCTCCTGAGCCTCGTTGCAGCGGTGCAACATGGACTTATAAGTCCCTGTAAACAAACAGGTAGGGATTCGGAACTTATAAGTCCCTATAAACAAACAGGTAGGGACTTATGACTTATAAGTTGGAACTTAAAAAAGTCTTAGGACTTATGAAACAAACAGGGTCTAATCTATGCTACGTACAACCACAGGATAGTTAATTGATGCTACACTACAGGCTCCTGTCTCTGTTTATAGGGTCATACTCCCTCCGTCCGACGTGGCAAGTGGAAAAGGGAACTAGTAGCAGCCTAACCTCATCGATGGACAGTCCAATCGGAGAAGCCTCCAACCGATGGCTGGTATACGCCACCCGTGTCCCCTCTTAGCACCATTCAGTCCGCAAGCAAAATATGCCTCCTCGTACCATTTATCCGTCCAAGATAAGAGTTAGTACATGTGATGTATGGCGCTGGCGGGTGAGAAGTTAATCGCACGGTCGTCAGCCATCCCCATCACGAAATTATTAAAACTAAGTAGAGTAGATACATGTATCCGTCCACAATCATTCCCACTTGTTGCTAAAAGGTAGCGTCTTGGTTTCGTTTCATTTAGCATGCGCAGAGCAGTACAGCAGCCAGGCATGCTAAACGCATTGGCATTATTCCCTCCGTTTCATAATATAAGAGTGTTTTTTAAGCTACTACATCACATCGCTCGATGACCGGACGATTGGTTTGTGAGTCACGATGGCCACCACCATCTCTTGGTCTCCAGGGATTTCCTGATCTGCTGACCGAGGGTGGCAAAGTTTTCCGCCTCGCTCTCAAACTCTGCGGATTCTTCGACCATTTTCTGGCATCCAAGAAACAGGATATCAGTGTCGTCAAGATTTACCGTACTCACTTGGTGTCGATTGAACAACAGAAGGAACCAAATCGTTTTACCGCGAGTTTCTCCTGCCGCTCCATGAGCTTATCCTTTGCGTGCGCCGCTGCCGCGGCAGCATCCTGGAGCGCAATTTACAGCTACTAGCTAAATCAGCAAGAGACAAGCAATATAGGGGTAGATGTAAAATTCAAAGGTGGAGAAATATAATACCCCGTTGAATTTATATTTTGTGAGGATCTCTTGGGTGCTTCTCATTCTCGGTTGCTCGACCTCCGGCTCTGGTAGCAGATAGTAGTTAGCATTCTTGTCAGAAAAAAAGGGGGTGGTTGTTTCTACCCTTGGAACTGGATGCAGGAAACCCCCTCAACCTTACCTGCTTTGTTATTCCAATTAAAAATGGACCAAGTTGATGCCTCTTTCTTCGGATCATCAGTGATTGCCATCAGCTGCACGCTTAGGTTCCGTGTGCTGAAACTTTATTTCAGTATATTGCTTTGAATCCTTTCGTGATCGGTGCCACCAAGAATCCCAGCTATTAGATCCCTCCTGTGTTGAAAACTTCATGTTAAGCCAGCCAGCAGAGCAGACAACAGAGAGGAGATCAGCTAAATCCCAAGATGCCATGCCGCCTTATCTGCAGGTAGCCGAAATCCAGCAAAATAGACGGAGACATTTAGACCGATTCACCTGCGACAGAAGACACTTGACGCAGCAGGGCAGCCTGAGAAAAGGCGCGGCCTTGCCCTACGCTACAAAATCCAAGGTGAATTCGAGATCCCAATGTGGATGGCAGCCGGCAAAGAGAGGGATGAAAGAGAGCAAAACAGGGACGGTCTTTTTTTTGCTGGCTACCTGTTTTGTTGATAGCCTTGAACCGTGGCCTGCCACCACTATCTCGGGAGCGCTTATTTTTGGGCAGCTTACGCCTGTCTGTCCTTGGTTAAGCTGGCATTATACAAGAGCCAACCTCTCACTCTGGAGTATGCCTGTCGAATTCAGTAATTTTAAATTCTGTGTAGACAATTTCACAAGTTTAAGATACAGAAACTGTGCGGTAGAATTCAATGTTACAATTTAACCTTAATTTTCATTACTACAAGATGGCGTGTCTCTGACTGCACAATCCACTATTTACCAGGAAACCAGACAATCTAACCAGGTGTTACAAAATTTACTTCAGATTAACCGGACCAGCAAGCCAACCTTTCCCTTGCTTAATCTATCTACGCTGACAGCGGACACGTAGCTTGCTATCAACACTTCATACCCATTCAGATTCCAGCAACAAAGCTCTGAGAACTGGACAAGAGAAAAGGGACCGCCAACTAGATCAGACCGCATAATCGGGGTCTAGAGCAGAGCTGCTTCCCATTCGCTTTCACCAAGGCTATCACTCCGGCTGTCAAGCCAGCAAAGATGATGGACGAGATGAGGTGTTGTGCGCTCCGTCCAACTGCAGATGGGAAGACGAGATCAGTAATACACGGTGCTAAACAGGAACCTACGGAGCCAAGATGAGTACAAGGCAGACCTTGACTAAGAGTGAAAGTTGTGACAGTGATCCCACCAACTATGATTGCCGACGCCACAGGAAGATACTTTTTCCCAGCAAATGCAAAACTTATGTCAGAATCGATTGCATGGTTAATGCTGCATGGTTGGTTGAAGAATAGGAAGAGTTGCAAAAACCATCTATAAATGAGAGGAACCATACTAAGGCAGAGAAGATGGACAAGGCTGCTTATGGTGCAGATTCAAATCCAATGATTTGAAAAGGAGAAGAACTGCTTTTGCTGACCGTTTAGTAACCACTGATAAGATCTAGAGCATCCTAGAGTTGAAATTTTTGGTTTCAGAAGAACCATACGATTAGCACAACTTTGTAAAATATAAACTCTAGTACTAAGAACAGGTGTTACAAGTGATAATCTAGCATGAACGCGGGGGCAAGTTATAATCTAGCAACGAACAAACTGTATCAAAAGCTAACTGAAAGAAACATACCCTAAAAACAATTATTTTCTGATAAAAGTAGGACATCTATTCATGATAGCAAATATTAGGCGGGAATGCAAGATAGTTCGTGTGGAACATCAGAAACGACCATACGTTCACAACTTACTTGTCGCACTCCATCATGAGAATTGTTCAAATAATACCGGGAAAGAGCGCTCATGCCATCTTTAATCAATCCAGGCAGTGTCTGCCTTCCATACCTGTGTTATTTGAGTTGTCAAGAACTTGACGATATAGACATAACAAAGTTGATTCAGGAAAGATGGTATGCTAGAAATTACCTTACAAGGTCTCCCTTTAAGGCATAAGAACCAGCATATTCAAGGCTTAGCTCATCACCATGCTCAACCCACACTGCCAAGCATGTATTAAGCATGAATACGATACATGTAAAACTGTCTAAAGCACCATACTAAACATCACCATACCTTACATTTTTTAAATTTATCGTTAATGCTATCAGATTGAGAGATACTTTCAGCTGATGATAATGCCCCCATTCGCTGCAGCTGTGAGTCCAAAGATTTTCTTGCAAGGAAACTCTGGAAAGCAGCACTCAAAAAGAATTCACCATGACGATATGAAATGATTCAGCAATGTGTTCATCAGACAATTAGAAGTAGCAAGGTCTGAATCACGAAACATTAAGCCTGTCAATCAAAATAATGTGATATCAATCACATGAATATTTAGACCTTCCTATTGTATTTTAGTCAATGTTACTGTTCATTCAGTTGCAACCTCAATATAGTCGCAAGGGAGTATAGTTGCTTCAAGGAACTAAGGCCGAACCAAGTCAGAACTATATTATGGTTTTCTAACGGAAACCTGTGGGGGAGGCTCCGGCAGTAACTTTTATTTAGTATTAAAAAATATTTACATTAAAGAGATATTAACAATACTGAGGGTGCTGTACAAACACAGATGAGAGGAAGGGGCTACAGAGATTCTCTCTTAAACAAGGGAGCTAATCCATGCTCAGAGAGAAGCTGCAAGCTCCTCACTCATTAAGAAAGCTAAGAGAAGGAGATCCTTCTTGACGAGGAGAGATCAAACAAAAAAAACGAAACAGAGCCATGGCTACATGGATCCCCTTTCTTTAAAACAAATACAGTATTTTAAAACCTCAAAATACCGAAATTTGTTTTACATCTATATATAGATGTGTAGTGTGTACGTATAAATTTTCATTAGTATATCTTTTCAGTTGTGATGTACACAAAAAAGATAAATATGTGGATTAAAAAATAGAGTTACCATTTGCTTTTATGGATCCACAAATTTGTCTTTTCTGTGCAGCTTACAAACTAATGCATTTCTCAATAAGATTTTGCAGATATATCTGTGTGGAAAAAAAGCTTTTAAACTTCAAAATGTGTTTTTTGCCCTTTTGGAATACAGGGCTGCGTGAAGCCTGAGAGCAAAATTGCCAAACCCAGACCAAGAGGTTAGGTTACGAGGGCTAACATTGTCAAAGATCATAGCATTTCGTTGCTTCTAGATGTTCCAGGCGACAAGGACAAAGCCTCCATGAAGAAATGATTGTGGAAGTGAATCTTTGCATCTCAAGATGATCAGAGTCAGAGGTAGTGTCCAGGGGAATGCCAATGGGACATACCCATTCATATATCCTATAAAGTGAATACCCACTAAGTGCATTGACATGAGTCCATGTCATCCGCATGCTCCAACCCAGCTGCCCCCTTGAAGAAATCGTTGCTTACTAGCTTCTCGACTCCCACAAAGATTGTATTCATAAGAATTTTGTGCTACACCTCCCACAGCAACGTACATCTTCTAGTTAATCCATTATATTACTCCCTCCGTTCCATAATGTAGTGCGTATAGATTTTTTGAGAAGTCAAACTGTGCAAACTTTGACCAAGTTTATAGATAAACCTATTTATATCTATAATACCAAATATATAAAATATGAAACTACTCCCTCTGTAAACAAATATAAGAGCGTTTAGATCACTAAAATAGTAATCTAAACGCTCTTATATTTGTTTACGGAGGGAGTACATCTTATGGTGAATCTAATGATATATGATTGGCATTCTAGATGTAAATGTTTTCATCCACATGGTCAAAATTTGCAAGGTTTAACTTTTTTTAAATCTATATGCACTACATTGTGGAACGGAGGGAGTAATGTCTAACTAATATGTAAATAATTACAACAAATTAGGCTGCTCTTTGATCTTTGCAATCGTGAACTGTCTATTATACAACTGTAATGGTGGCACAATGATCTAGACACTCAACTAGAGCGAAAAGTTTTGCAGGGTGCAGTGCTAGGAGCACAAGGTTGCAAATCCACCTACTCAGTTAGGTAAGTGTGCGTACGGTTACAAACTGTTAACTTTGTATTTCAATGAAAACCTAGAGCAAATAAGTTAACAATTTTGGAAAAAAAAACAATGTTATCAAATTGGATCTGATAAATAAGGTGAACAGACCTGCGTCACATTTGTGCGGTCCAGGCAATCTATGCAGTTGGACCTAACGACGCCACTTTGGTCCAACAATATCTCTCCTTTAGAGTTCATAAGGAAATATCTACTCCGCTGGCCCAGAAATGAATCAAGAGCAAATTACTTGCCACAGTTAAACTTGAGTGGTTGAAGTGGATACTAAAGTGGTATTATTAGGAAAAATAAAGAGTGGAATATTCATTATTTAGAAATTACCCTTGTTTCTGAATAGCTTCCTCAATTTCATCATAGAGAACTTGCAAGTTATCAAAGTTCCCTCCGCCACAAATATGATGGAAATCAAAGTGCACATACCTGTTAGAAAAGGACAACATTATTAGCATAGAACAAATGAATGTTATGTGACACATAATCCCTAGGAGATAGTAAGTACTACTTCACTACTTGCAACTTTGCAAATAAAAATCGATAGAATAGCTAAGCATTTTCAGGAAACATAAGCTCATAAAGCACCTGATATCAGGAAAGTTCTGCATTTCAGCAGCAAATGCATTGCTTAAATTTCCTTCATCACCTTGCTGCAATAAAAGAAAGGTCGGACAAACTGTCATCTGTCTCTGCTGTATGGACTGAAAGAATAATCTGATTATCTGACTGAAAGTTTGATATTTTCAAGAGGTCAAGACGTAGCTACAGACAATTTTATTTTTCTGTTTCAGTCTTCAATTTACTAAAACAGGCTAGAACTGGGGCAAGCAAAGAACTGGGTGTAATAACATGAGCAGTTCACATTTTTTTACACATGGACTGCTCGCTCTGTGCTTGATTCTACACAAGTCCTTTCATATTGTAGCTTAAAATGTAAAGGCTGCAATAAATCAGCATATTATGAATTTATTTAATCACAAAACAACTCACAATTCCAATTTGAATTCAAAAACTTACTTTATCGGTCAGATCAATAACCATTGTATCTCCATATCTTTGTGAAAGATCGTGAAAGTGGCGCTCAACAACCTTCGTCTGTGAGCGATAATAGTTTGAGAGAAGTCAGCAGGTTGTATTCAGTGAGAGTGGCCATTAGATATACACGTTGGTGCCAATATGTTCCTACCATTTCTTCATGTTCAATAATGCTGGGTCGTGGTTTGTAGCTTAAATCCACTATCTGCTCCCAGAGAAGTGGAATAGAGCCCCTAACCTAACAAGGGAGTTGTAAAATATTAATCTAAATGTCGTCACATAACATAGCATTTATAGGATTAATATCACGTTTCCTTTGAATATGTCATGATCATCCAGCAAAGAAGCTTATCTCATTATATCATGAAATCACCTGTATAAATGAGGACGTTAAACCTTCATACTCAACCAGCTGTTCTGTCTCGACAAAATTGGCGGTGGCACCTTCAAGATTTGCACCCCTTCTCCACATTCTTGTCCCTGCAATGAATGGGTGGATGACAATGAGAAGTTAGTCCCAGATGCTAATATCCAATTGAAATGTTAGGGAAAAAATGTACAACCTAAACGCCTGTTGCATCTCTGAGAGAATAAAGTTATTCTGACTAGTCTATCCTTCAAGGTAAATTGCTCTGTCTGAAAACGTAAAATAGTCAAGGATGGACCAACTCCTGAAGCATATTTCCTCCAATGCTGAAATACAAATGATGGGGACAGCATTGCATATTTGCACAATGGAAAGAGAAGCCAATGGCCAGAAGGCAAGTACACAGTAAACAGTAACAAGTGCAGATATAGTTACTACTGTATTATATTTTCATGGAATTTTTTGAAATTTTAGGATATTTCCTTGGATCAGTGGGGTAATGAACTCATCAAGCTGCAACAACATATAAAAATAGGTAAGTCGTCTGAAAATGAAAATCAGAAAAACGTTTGTATTCTCTTCAAATAGGATTACCTTAGTTTCAATAAGCTTCTCTAACAAATTCCTGTTACAAACAAACCGTGGATCAGCCTGAAAAATAAACTTAACTACTTGAAGAGCAGTGACCATGAAAGAACCCTTTTGGTAAGTTGCCTGATTCTTTATAAGGAAAGACTAAATCAGGCAGGGTTGTAACGTAATAAAGGCTTGTACAGCTTTATGGTTTTATAGCAAGTCTCTGATTCTCTTGTTGATCACTTCAGAATGCCAAGTATTAGGAACTCGTAGTGTGGATGTGAATCATCAAAAATACACCGATCTCAACCAAGAATGTCTGGTGAGGATGTGCCAGCTCACAATGACAGAAGAATAGAGTATATATAGAGAGATAGTGTGACTTTAGTCTTTACAGTCTCAATTGTAAAGCACAGGCGTTTAAACTGTTACAGGGGTATTTTTAAGGTTTTGCTCTTTTTATATTAATTTATAGTTGCATGTGCATGTATACTGGTTAGGATGTGCTTGCACTGAAATTGTATTTTGAAATTAAGCATAAATGTAAGATTAATAACAAAACTAAAAAGAACAAAGACAGTAGCCAAAAGATCCAAATAATACAGGCTGTATCTTTCTTTACTCCAATGAACGTGGAGGTGGTGGTGATACCCCCCCCCCTCCCCCCGCGCGCAGTATGCTCACCAGCTATATTTGGGTTCTAAAATATGTTATATTGTTATTTTTATAGTTTTGCTATCTGTAAAAAAAATCTAAGTCTACTTCTACACTAATTAATTATTTGCCTCATCTTCACTGGGCAGTTGCACCCTTCTACACCTAAAGTTACATGTAGATTTCTATGCAACTTTAGTCTTCATGGTGTGCAGCCTGGTCGACTTAGAAAACCTGTTTCTCATGTAGCTAGGACATATCAAATTCATTGTGTTGATGAGTATGTAACAACTCAAGTATAATAAGACAGTTGAATATTAAAATGCAAACAATAAACCAATATTAACCTGCTTCCATAGTGGCTTATGTACCCTCCCCGCAGCCAGCTTTGATGCCCTCTGCAAGCTACAAATAACGAGAGCTCATATAATAGAGAAAACAACAGATCAACAAATTTATCATAATTCTGCGACGCATGAAACTACATAATAAACATTTTTCAGCTGCCTTTTTCCAGAGACACACATGACAGAATACTTACTTTAATGTCAAATCCCTGTCATACGAATAATAAAGTCCACAAGTAGTTTCTGCAATTCTCAAGAGAGACATGAAGTATGCCTCATCTCGTTTCTGCAGGCAGATGTATAAACAAGTTAAAATGCACTCTCACAAGACAAAAATATCATGTAAAGGTAATCATGTTCCGGTTATGATCAAACAATGTGAGTCAAATTGCATCAAATATTCATTTATTCCACACTTCCTCTGAAGTTAAATGCTTTATAGCCTCGTTGCAGCACAAGAATTTCATCGAATTCGCATGGTAAACTGTGGAAGCCCCATAAGAGCCAGCATCCTTCCGAGAAGTGATGACAAGTACGTAGCTTCCTGATAAGAACAAAGTTTTGAAATGTGGAACAGCCGCTCCGGCATAAAAACCTGATTTCCAGAAATGTTCTTGAAAAACAAACTAGCAGTGCTAAGGTGGAAACATACAGAAAGGCACAAGAAAATCTAGAAAAACAGGGCAACAAAATATAAAAACATTATGTTTAACTGATGACGGCCAATCAAAACATATTTCCAGGATTTACCTAGTGACATAAGTTCAATTAACCCAAGCAGCAACACTTATGGATTGCTCAACACCTGAGATTCATGCGCAACTCAGCTAACTTTACAGCACAAAGTAGAGAGTTTGCATTGTAACGACCTGTATTTGGGGGTTTTCTTTTTTTGTTCGCCCTGGCTATTTCAGTCATCACTGTACCCCAAGAGTTTATCCTTTCTGGCAAATACGGCACTCAGACTATGCAGCGCATGGGGACATACAAACCCAATTCAAGTCAATAAATTATAGAAGAAATCTAGCTGCAAATGCAGCTTCACAAAGCACAGCACATAATCGGTGTGTGATCAATTTCTAGTTTTGAAAACAGTATCTGCTGAATTATATGTTGTCAAAAATGGAAGTTTGTGTACCAAAACACTGTGCATCTTGATGCAGCTTTCTTTAATGTAACAATTGTAAGTTACATGCTGCAACAACTTTAGCATTTGTAGACTGCCTGAACATGCTTCTGTTCACCAATACTAGTACAGAGGCAGACAAAGAACAACAAAGTATAAGCAGGTAAATATTATTTCTGTCCCAAATTAGTTGTCTTAGATTTGTCCAGAAACGGATGTATCTAGACAAATCTGAGACAACTAATTCGGGCAGAGGGAGTAGCTATCAGTCAGTCACACAATGTTTGCTTGATGCCACCTCTGGGTACAAATGGGCGTGATGTGATCATTCAAGTTACAGAGAGAACACTGGCTTCACAAGCAATTTTAGATCCAATTCATGTCTAAGAAGCAAACTAAAAAGATTAAAGACTAGAATATCATAAAGCTACATGTACTTCATTCATAAGAAAATTTGAGCGAGAATGGGAAACCTTCCCAGTTCCATTACTATGACCTATCAATTACAGGAGTTCAAGTTCAGCAAAAACAAAAGAAACAGAACATGCAAGTGGCCATCAGAAGACCAACATGTGAGATAATAGCTGAAACAGAACAAGTGGGACACAACAACTGGATACAAAGGAAATGGTCTCCATGATAGAATCATCGACTATACTTCGAAGAAAGTTTTTGCATTCTTTGACATCTATTTAGCTGATCCAAGTGATCCAATAAAATTGGTTTTACAAAAACTTCTTACGGAATGCTGGGTACGAAAATCTCATATAAATGAAACAAATGAAAATTCTAAATCAACCGCAAATTTATGCTTTTGCTCGAAATAGCAGTGCCCACCAATTGCTTGCGCATGAAAAAACTTTCATCATCTTTCTTTTAGATGGCGTTTGGTTCATCTGTTATCCCTCGGTTGGACAGGGATAGCCAATTTTCTGAGGGATGCCACTCGTTTGGTTTACAGGGATGAAAGGATAGGGATAGCCAAGATGCTGAGAATATTCCTCAAAAAACTGGTTGGCAAGAGCCGGCAAAATATGGCGGATGACGGCAGGCAGCCAAGCTCGCGTCGCAAGCGAATCGTTTCTTTCGAGTCAGTTCTCCCGAACGAAAAGCATCTCAGTTTATCCACCTCTCCGCGCTCTCTTTCTCATGCTGGGCGGCGGCGCCGGCGCCGGCCGGAGAAGAGTAGCGGCGAACCGGATCCAGCCAGAGCCTCGCGTTCCTCGACGACGGCCGCCACACAATCACGCGTTCCTCAACGACGGCCGCCACACAACCAAGCTCTGCGTGCCTCTGCTGGGTTAGGCTGCGGCTGGCTCGGTGCCTCAATCCTCTCAATTCCCATGCTCGAATTCCCCTGTATGAAATTCTACTCTCTGATTTGTCGCTCTACGAACTGCAGCCCGATCTGTTATTATGTGTGTGTATACTAATTTATGCGTCAGGACGTGTGGCTGATTGTGCGTGTGTGCTTGTGTATATGTATCTTGAAGTTTTTTTTTACTAGTACTACCGTGAATAAATACTACACACAAGAAAAAGAGGCTATCTGAAAGTGTATTTCTATTTTTCAAACTTGGCATGTCAAAGTTAAACACACAAATAACTATCCCTAGCCACCTCTCCTCACCCTTTCAACCAAACAACAAAACATGGATATTCAACCAATCCAATCCCACCCAATCAAACAACGAAAAGTGGTTATCCCTAACCACCTGGTTGAGGATATCCTTAGCCAACCCAGCCTCGCCATCGAACCAAACGCCACCTTAACTCACATGGGGATGTATCATCATACTGTTAAAACACTGTATTACATCATTATGTGGAGTTAAAGTTAAAATTGGGAATTGGCACCATTTATGCGCGATATTATATTAGAACAGAGAATTTACTTTTAACAATGAAATAGATCAACCGTGGGATGTTTTGGCTTTTGTGGGATTTTCTAGCTAATGCTCCATCCGTTCCATAATGTAGTGCCTATAGATTTTTACAAAAGTCAAACATTACAAACTTTGACCATGTTTATAGAGAAAAGTAGGTACATCTAGAATACCAAATGCACATCATTGGATACATCGTGAGTTATATTTTCATAATGTACATGTTTGGTATTGTAGATGTAGACAATTTTCTCTATACACTTGGTCAAAGTTGGCAAAGTTTGACTTTCACAAAAATCTATAGGCACTACATTGTGGAATGGAGGGAGTATCATTTTTTCTAGATGACCTTTATGTACTTTTAGTTTTTATCAGAATAGGTGATCAAATATACTTCTTATCAGTTGAGTTTAAATAGCTACAAACTTTAAGAAGGTTTTATTCAATCATAGCAAGTGTCAGTAAATTATGGGAGTGCCATTTTTTTCTGAGAATTCTAGCATAATTTTCATTAGTTGTGATATATACCAAGATACAAGCAATATAGACTGGCAATCGGTTCCTTCTGTGAGGCACGGATTTCAATCTCGAAGTGCATGTAACACATAACAGATGTTCAATGGCTATGTATAATTCATATGATAGATGGCGATGTAAACAGCGATCATAACACAACTCTAGGGCATGAGTTTCATGACCATGTTTTTCTAAAATATTACTCCCAATATATCTCGGTTTAGGTTGATCTACATGTTCAGGAAAATTAGTCCTAGTGTGCATACATTGTCATCTTCTTTGATCTTGTTTGTGTAGGTTTGAGTCTCTCCTTAACAAAAGCTAAACACGAACCTTTCTTTAGGTTTGAGTCTTTCTTATATCGAAAACTTGAAAGCAGAGTTTAAATTTGATCTCTAACTGGTGCAGCAAGCTTTTTAGTGTGTTTGCTTTTGAGAGGGTGGTACATTTTCAACATGTCTTTCCAGGGAAGCTTTTCAATATGCAGAGGTACAGATACTATGCCAGATGGTCCAAGCATCCAATATGTGAAATCACACTGTAGTGAAATTTAATGATAACAGAGATTTATGGTTGGTTGCTTTTCTTTTTTTCTGTGATTTTTCTAGCATGTTTCTCTTCTTTCTGGTTAGCCCGTCATTTACTATAATTTATAATGGAGAGTGTTAGTCCTAGAGCTGCATAAGTTGTCATTATTTTGATCTTGTTTGCATAGGTTCGAGTCTCTCCTCAACAGAAGCTAAACACGAATCTTTCTTTAGGTTTGAGTGTTTCTCCTTTATTGAAAGCAAAGTTTGGACATGCCGGGCCCGTTTCAAGCAAACTTTAGAATTGATTCCTTCCACCTGTTTCTGCCCGTTTGAGCTTTTGATGAGATAGCTGGCCGGGTTGCTCAATGTTTGGAACAAAAAATCGAAAAAAAAAATGTAGTTTAGCTACTAGTAATATATGAATGAAAGGAGCTTTCTGAACACATTTCAGAGAAGGGTTCAGTTCTGGGGATAGTTCTTTTAATTGTTTCGGCGAGCTGACGGCACGGGCAAATGTTGACAGTTTGACTCACCGGCGAGCAACCTGATCATACCGGCCACTCCGTATATCTTGGAGACCTTACAGTCGCTCCCGGCTGCGGCTTCCTCTGCACGCGAGCAAACGAACAGGTAAGCAAAACACCCACTCACGAGCCGAACACGCGACACCAATCAAATCCAGGAGTGAGCCCACTGGAAATGCGCCGCCGGGAAGCTGCCGACGGTCTAGGGCGGGCGTGACCTGGGGAGAGGGGGCGGAGGGAGCCGTCGGAGCGGGCGACGGCGAAGGCGCCGCCGCCGTCGAGCGAGCGGAAGACGTAGCGGTCGCGGAACTCCCGCAGCTCGAGCTCCCGGCTGCAGGATCCCGGCCGCAGGGGCTCGTCGGCGAGCAACGGGGCCTCGTCGGCGTCGGTCGCCATCGGCGTGCGGGCTTGGGCTTGGCTCTGGGCTGGGCTGGACTGGTCTCTCGCCGGATCCGAAACGGGGAGAGAGGAGAGAGAGAGCGGGGGACAGGACAGGAGGGGTGATGACTCACGTGGCACTGCGTGTGGGCCAGCCTCGGATTTACTCAGTGGGGCCAGGGGTAGCTGACGGAAAGGGACCCGCGGGACGCGAGCTGCCACTACCAGGCGTTTCGCGGGGCGCCTGGCGGCTTCGGTGTGACTCGGTCTTTTTCCTCTTCGGAGGTGGAGACTGCGGGCGGGTGTGCGCGACCCGTTCCTGTCTCTGTTTCTGTTGCGGCGGGCCCCGGTTCGGATTCCCCAAAGCTCGTGGGTGCTTTCGTACCGAGTCGGATCTGGTTCAAATAGCCCACTACGGGTGGTACAACAAACTTTCAATCATAAATGAAGAGAGATCATTAGGCCAACTGCAGCGCACGACCCAAACGAACGTCCGTTTTATGCGGATTCTGTCCATTTAGATAGGGCAATAGGATCGTGTCTGGGCCTGTCCTTGGATGCGGTGGCCGTGCGCCCAGCGCGCGGCCTCATCCTGTCTGTCACGGTCAAAAATGTCCATATAATCATATTTTAATATTCAAAACAAGTTTGCATGTCCAAATAAAAATAGTTTTACAACCCAGTCAAAATTGTCTCTAAATAAAATAGTTTTACAACCATATTGAAATTGTCTTGAATGAACCGATACATTTATTGGTTGTCAATGTGACTCCACACGTGCTCAATCAAGTCATTTTGAAGATCCAAATGAGTGTGCGAATCATGCATTTCATGATGAAATTGGGCAAACTGTTCAAACGTGGCCGGTTCTTGTTGCAGGGGCTCAATATTTTCATCTTGATAATCAAATCCTTGGTCGAAGATGCGGTCATCACGCTCATCGGGGTCTTCTCAACCAATCCCTAGAGAATCAACAAGTTTGATTGGCTAGGGAGAGAGAGATCGGGCGAAAATGAAGCTTGGAGCAACAATGAAATTTGGGGATGGAAGAGGTGAGTCTTCTTGGAGAAGAAGACCCCTTTATATAGTGGGGGACACATCCAACCGTTATGCAGCCCGCAGCCCGCATCTAGACGGTACTACCGTTGCTGGAGCGGTAGTACCGCTGTGGCAAGCAGGCAAAAGGGCAACTAGGACCGAGGGAGAGGAAGTACATGCACTAGGGCGGTATTACCGCCGATAGGCGGTACTGCCGCTTCATACAGCCGCTGGAAAACAGGGGAGGGCAGCGAGTTGAGCGGCAGTGGAGCGGAAGTAGGAGCGGTACTACCACCGAGAGGCGGTACTACCGCGCCCTACTATCGTCCCTACTACCCCCCCTGCGTGGTCTTTTACGAAAACCCGACACGAAAAATCGAGACCACAGCAGGGGCAGTAGTACCAGCGGCACTAACAAGCGGTACTACCGCCGATAGGCGGTACTACCACCCTGGCCGCGGTACTACCGCTTAGCACAAGGCACCCCTTGTTTTGCACAACACGGAAACTCCAACTAAGCGGGAAGAAAACTAGGGTGCAAGAAGAATGTGAACATGGTGATTCCACCCATACTCTTCCGAAACGGATTCCCTCTTGATAGTACGGTTATCCCTACGACTCAATTCCACCGGAAAAAAACGAAGGAGAATAATCCATCTAAAGTGAAGCCCCCGAGGGGTAACAATCGCATAGAGCCCTTATATTAGATCACCTGGAATGCTTAGTGCACATGATTAGTCCGCAAACGTATTGTCATCAATCACCAAAACTACTAAGGGATAAATATGCCATTACATCCTCGACGATCATGTTGTGCATGATCACACAAGCAGTCATCACCTCCCAAAGCTTCCCTTCATCCCATGCCAGCACAGGGTTTCGAACGATACCCCATCGAGAGTGAAGCACACCAAAAGCACGTTCCACATCATTTCTAGCACTCTCTTGCATTTGGGCAAATCTCTTTCTCTTCTCACCTTGGGGGTTCAAGATTGTCTTCACAAAAGTTGACCACTGAGGATATATACCATCAGCTTGGTAGTATCCCTTGTTGTACTGGTGGCCGCTGATCTCAAAGTTGACAGGTGGGGAGTGGCCTTCTGCAAGCCTTGCGAAGACTGGAGAACGCTGCAGCACGTTGATATCATTGTGAGAACCTGCCATGCCAAAGAATGAATGTCATATCCGAAGATCCTGCGAAGCCACATCTTCTAATATGACAGTGCACGCTTTAACATGCCCCTTGTATTGGCCCTGCCAATTAAATGGGCAGTTCTTCCACTCCCAGTGCATACAATCTATGCTGCCAAGCATGCCTGGAAAACCTCTAGTTGCGTTGGTTGCCAACAATCTCTCTGTATCAGCGGCATTTGGCTGCCTCAAGTACTCAGGGCCAAACACTGCCACCACGGCCTTGCAGAAGTTGTATAATGACAGCAAACATGTGGACTCACTCATACGCACATACTCATCCACCATATCGCCTGGAATTCCATATACAAGCATGCGGATGGTCGCGGTGCATTTCTGGTAAGAGGAGAATCCATGCTTGCCAAGGGCATCTATCTTGCACTCGAAGTATGGGTCATGAGCAACCACTCCCTCTCTGATACGATTGAACACATGCCTTGCCATACGAAAACCGTGATAGAATTTATCCGGCTTGAAGAGTGGGGTGTTTGCAAAGTAGTCGGCATAGAGCAGGGCGTGGCCTTCTCCCTGTTGCGGTTCAGGTTGGGAGCACGGCCAGTGAGTGCCTCCCCTGTACCGAGGAAGCTGTCGTTCAATGTGGTTGTGAACGACCAGTGCAGCCACCACAAGATCTTCATCATCCGACAACGAATCGTCCGATGAATAAATGAAGTGGTGGAAGAAAAAATCATCTCCATACCTTTGTGGGCAAAGTGTCGAACACCTTGCGGTCGTGGTGGCAAAGAGGCCGCGATGATCACCTCGATGCAGCAGGGTGATACGTCTCCAACGTATCTATAATTTCTTATTGTTCCATGCTATTATATTATCCATCTTGGATGTTTTATATGCATTTATATGCTATTTTATATGATTTTTGGGACTAACCTATTAACCTAGAGCCCAGTGTCAGTTTCCATTTTTTCCCTTGTTTTGAGCTTTACAGAAAAGGAATACCAAACGGAGTCCAATTGACGTGCCAATTTTTAATGATTTTTTATGGACCAAAAGAAACCCCGGGAGTAAAAGAGTTGGGCCAGAAGAGTCCCGAGCCATCCACGAGGGTGGAGGGCGCGCCCTACCCCCTGGGCGCACCCTCTATCTCGTGGACGACTACTACTTCTTGAGCTTGCTTTGGTTTTTCCCTTGAAGAGGAAAGGGTGATGCAGCAAAGTAGTGTAAGTATTTCCCTTAGTTTTTGAGAACCAAGGTATCAATCCAGTAGGAGGCTCCTCAAAAGCCCCACTCACCTACACAAACAAACAAGAACCTCGCAACCAACGCGATAAAGGGGTTGTCAATCCCTTCATGGTAACTTGCAAAAGTGAGATCTGATAGAGATAATAAGATAAGATAAATATTTTTGGTATTTTTATGATATAGATTGGAAAATAAAAGATGCAAATAAAAGTAGATGGAAAACTTATATGATAAAGGATAGACCCGGGGCCCATAGGTTTCACTAGTGGCTTCTCTCAAGATAGCATAAGTATTACGGTGTGTGAACAAATTACTATCAAGCAATTGATAGAAAAGCGCATAGTTATGAGATTATCTAGGCATGATCATGTATATAGGCATCACGTCTGTGACAAGTAGATCAAAACGATTCTGCATCTACTACTATTACTCCACACATCGACCGACTCCTGCCTGCATCTAGAGTATTAAGTTCATAAGAACAGAGTAACGCATTAAGAAAGATGACATGATGTAGAGGGATAAACTCATGCAATATGGTATAAACCCCATCTTTTTATCCTCGATGGAAACAATACAATATGTGCCTTGCTGCCCCTGCTGTCACTGGGAAAGGACACCGCAAGATTGAACCCAAAGCTAAGCACTTCTCCCATTGCAAGAAAGATCAATCTAGTAGGGCAAACCAAACTGAAAGCACAAGTGCTCCCTGGGTGGTTTTGGTAATTAATGTCAACATATCTCTTGTTGGACTAACACTTTTATCTAGTATGTTTCAGACAAGTTCAACAATGGAGTGGCATGCACTAAAGGATGTGGAAACCCCTTCAAGATGCTAAGGACAAAGGATTGGCTCAAGCTTCAAGCTCAAGACTCTGCATTTTATGTTTTAGTGATCCAAGATCACATTGAGTCTATAGGAAAAGCCAATACTATCAAGAAGGGATGAGGTGTTGCTTAATGAGTTTCTTGCTCCACAGTGCTTAGTGATATGCTCCAAAAACCCTCAACTACTTTCTCACATCCCATATGTCCTAAACCTAAAGTCCAACTCGGCCCCACCGATTCTTTCTATCCGACACCACCGAGTTCAGATGTCATAGCCACTGCCACAAACCCTAGGCAAATCGGTCTCACCGATAGGGATCTCGGTCTCACCGAGATGGGATTGTAATCTCTCTGTGCATGTCCATATCAAAATCGGTCTTACCGAGTTTGAGTAATCGGTACTACCGAGATTACAATGCAAACTCTCTCGTTAACTTATTACCAAAATCGATCTCACTGAGTTTGAGTAACTGGTCCCACCGAGTTTGCCTGACCAACTCTCTGGTTAGCTTATTACCAAAATCGGTCTCACCGAGTTTGTGTAATCAATCTCACCGAGATTATGTTATGCCCTAACCCTAACCATATCGGTCCTACCGAGTTGCATGTCGGTCCCACCGAAAACCCTAACGGTCACATTGTTTACTAAATCGGTCTGACCGAGTTTGTTGATTCGGTCCCACCGAGATTGGTAAATTGTGTGTAACGGTTAGATTTTGTGTGGAGGCTATATATACCCCTCCACCTCCTCTTCATTCGTG